AAGTTTATTTTTGCAATGTAATTTATCTTGGACTAAAATTTCCGAGCTTTTACAATCAATTATATACCTTAGATGTTTGATCACATGCTACTTTTCAAATTTAAGCGGGATCTTGTTTAGTTTTGGAGGGAATAGTCATCGGGTGGCCATTTTTAAACGTTGCCGGGATGACTTTATTTCCGTGTTCTTGTAGTGTGAAGTTAGCGTAGAACGAAAAACAAGATATGTTGAAATTATTGAATCGCGACCAAGCAATATAAACAATTGCCAAAAATAAATAAAACCCTATTTCAAGGATCTGGAACCAAAATGATATAATGTTTTACCGAGTAATTTTAAAAATGTAAGATTAACAAAAAATCTATTCAAAAATATTCAAAAATGGATGATGACTCAAACGACACTTCAGGGCAGTATATTAATTATTCTTGCATAACATAAATCACGTTTGCTGAAAATAGAACAAAAAACGTAATGATGAAAAAAAAAGTAAAAGCAAAATTTTTTTTGTTGACTTCATAAAAAAAATAATGAAATTTTATTAACTAAAGCTACACTTTAACTCAGACTCACGGCGTACCAAAACTGCGCCACGTCACGCTGCGTCCGAACCATTGAGTTAGAAAACTAATGGAGGGATTATAATGGTAGAGGGGGTAAGAATTTTTGTAGAGGGAAGTTGCCACAGATAGAGGCCACTCGCGTGGATAGGTCCCTGTGAAGGTACATTTTGGCCGACATTATTTGACATATGAACACGCGGGTCCTGTCACTGTCAGTTTTCCACCAAATTCAAATTTTATTAAATTTGCCATTTTAACCCTGGAATGCTACGCGGGGTACGCTTGTACCCCATGCTTGTTTGCAAGTTGCCCCAAACGGCAATAGTTGGGGCTACAGTCATGTGCGCCTCAGTAGTTTCATTCTACCTGACGGCAGTTTAGGTGTGATATTGGTGACGTGCTGTGCATTTTGAATCGTTGAGATATTTGAGATCCGGGTTATAGGTGTACCCCAGTGTAGCAGAATAGGATATTTTTTTTGTGTTGGTATGTAAACTTATATTCTTGCTAAACTATTAAAATTATTATTACAATTTCGCCATCCGTGTTGTTTTTCAATGAATCTTTTGAGAAGACGAAATGGCTTCCCAAAAACAATATTTTGACCGCCGATGACATTTCCGAAATATATCACATGCTTTATGATTCTGATTCCGAAGGTTCCCAAGACCAAAAGAAAATATGCCCAACTTGTGGAGAATAATGTAATAATATTATTTTGTAAAAATAGTTAGAATTATTATTTATCACACGCAATTTTGTGAACTGAGAATGATTAGCTGCGTATCATGCAAAATTTCTCATAAAGGGAAGAAACAGGGCATTTCCTTTCATCTGCAAGACATGTCTTTTATCATGTTGTAGGCGAGGTTGTAGGTACAATACCTAGTTTATGTTTCTTAGTTTTCCAAACGAACCAGTACTTCGAGCAAAATGGTTACCTAACATTAATTATAAATATCTCAAGAACAGCTCTCGAAATTTGCTTTTGTGCTCACAACGCTTCATTGACCTGTGATTTCGACCAAAGGTTGCACCGGAAAATGTTCATCAAATATCTCGTCAAATATGCAGTAGGTACTATCAAAACTTGTTTTTACGCTAAACGTGTGAGTTTATAATATGGATATCATGTGTGAGTTTTTTTACGAGTGCGGATACATTTTGAGACCAATAAACAATAAATTATTATTGAATCTCTCTGCCGTTGTAATGAACCTGAGACCAACCAGTCAATTGTAGCTATTGATCAACACAGTAAATTTAAGGGAGTTGTCAAGTTGTAGTGGCTATAGTAAACTGGCCTTAATTATAATTTATATGTACTACTGGAACACATCGATGTATATTTAGATTTGTAATCAATGATTATATTAAATCTGCATACTTTCCCATCTTTGTCTATTTTGTTTACTTTACCACCAGCATGTATTTTACTCCTATATGTTTTTTTTGTTATTATTCCTATTAGTGGAAAGAAAATTATATCTCTACGCCACTGAAGTGAGGAGCTAATGATAACGGAAGTGGTGTGGTAGTTTAATCACAGCCAGAGGCCACTTTTGGTTCCTACGTCTGGCCAAGCATTTGATTCCCTCTATTAGTTTTCTTACTCAATGGTCCGAACATTCCTGATGTATAGACGTCCTTTGGTTGCAGAAATCTGTGGTGAGTCAAGAGTCACCCTGCGTCACTTCACGTAACTGCGTCTCAACACTCGCCCTGCCTTTACTGAAAATAATTTTGTGGCGGTTATAAAATTGCTGACATTTACTGCGAATGCTTCTTTGAAATCTTGCAACAATCAATACGCATGCGTGAGATTTGCTGCAAAATACTTATGTTGCTTCTACCAATTTGGTGGTAAAAGCTGAGTAAACTGAGTAAAGGTTGTAGTAAACATAAACAATGCGATTGCACTGTGAATCAGACAGCGACGTCGGAAGTATGGGTCAGAGGGGGCGTCTCGCCCCCTCAGTTTTTACACAAGGGGGGCCACGCCCCCTCTAAGAAGGAGTAGATAAATCACTCAGAAGGAACTAACACATCTACTGCATGTGCATGCAGAAATTACAAAAAGTGTAGAAGTAGAGGCTAATATTGAAAGAATTTGTCAGTAAAACTGCGGAAAGGCGGAAAATTTTTGGATATATTTAATTTTTTATACTTGCTTTTCTTTACAATGCTCAATAGTGCAATAAATAGGAACAAAATTTTTGCAACTTTTGTATGTTCTAGCTAGTTCATTATTTTTTAAATAAAATATTAATTATCTATGGCTATGGTTTTCTCATCGAGTCAAGTATCTCTGAAGTTGCTCAATTTCATATAACTAGACATTTCCGACACTTTTTTAAATTTTTCCCAAAACTTTTCTTTCAAAAATACATTATTTGATTGATTAAATGAACAAGTGTCAGGGTCACTTAAAAAATCCACTGCTTTGCATTAAATCCTACACAATTTTGCATGGCAGGGACCTTTCAGACTCCATGGTCGCTAATTTTTGCCCCCCCGCCCCCCAATCGTTATTCACTTCCGACGTCGCTGGAATCAGAATATATGCACTACATTTTCTAAATAATGCTGCATCCTGACTAAGAGAACTTTCCTTCTACGCAAATTTGTTACTGCAATAAACTCTTCATCATCGGAGCTACTGCTTTCTAATAAGTATATTTTGGATAACGTTATGCAGAACAATAAATTCATTAATGTCCCCCGTTTCGGAATATATAAACACAGATTTAATGTTTAAATCTGTGCTTCAATTGCAATGCTCCGAATGCACGTAAATTGTAAGTAAATTTTCGACCGTACCCTTAGATGGCGCATGCAGCTTATTCCCACTAAGGTCAAGGTTATTTTATTTCAAAGGTTACCTGGTAACTATGTGGGCGGAAGCGGGAGGGACGGAATGTATACGTCATCGAGAATTCTGACATTGACGTTCAACGTTGTTTGTAGTCGCGCGGGTGCTTATTTTTCTTGAGTTATAGTTTATTTGTTTAAAATTTGTTGAATTTTGAAATGCATAAGGACATATTTTAGCTGTAGATACCTGTTTGGTGCAATATAAAGACATTTAAGTTTGTGAATTTTGTGGGTTTTCATAGCCGTGATTGAAAGGTTAGTTCATCAATTATATGCACTTTTGTATGTTATAATTAAGTATTTTTTTAGATGAGTGGCGGTAACACTAAAATTCCTCATCCTGGTGTAAATAAAATCTCGGTTTTTACGTTTCCCAAGGACCCTACCGTTCTTAAAGAATGGGTAAGAAAATGTTTCACATCCGGCAGCAAATTAAAATGTGCTGCGCCCTCATTGGTCAAAACGGCCAACCGATGAAAGCGTAGCGCCCCTGGGCGCAAACGTTTAAAAGCAGAGCCACGAACTGTGCAAAGTGCAACGCAATTTCTGCTTCGACTGCACTTCAAGAAACAAAAAGCTCTCCACCTGCAGAACCAGGTCGCCTTGCCAGCTCGACCTCGCGCCACACTCCATCAGTCAGAAGACCTGCATCTGAGCTCACCCCAACGACAGAGCTCGCCGTGTGCACCTCGGTTACCATTGTGTACATAGGTACCTACTATAAATATACATTTTCCATAAAACGCAACAGCATTTTATTTGGCGTCATCCGCTAAAGAATGATTAGAGTTTTAATTCCCAAAGGCTAGGTATTGGTACATAGGGGTGGCTCCTATTTTGTAGAACGCGGAATTTTATCCATTTCCACCTCTAAAATTAATTTGATTATATTTTCACAAGTCGTCGTGCAATGTAAAACAGCTAACGCACCACACTCATTTTTGCAATACTTTGATTGCTTTCAAAGGTGGACGTCGATAAACTTCCAAGATTTCCAATATAAGATCCACCCTCATATACATATACCCATATAAATCCAAAAATATACTGCAAAAACTAAATTTTTTACCCCTTTTATTACCATTGTAACCTATGAGCAATTTTAAATGCGAATTCTGGATGACGTTTTCCCGCCTTCAAAATGCAAGCATTCTATTGGTTTAGAGTTACCAGACAACCTTTCTAATAAAACAACCTTGCACTGGTATACTTTATTAAAGGGTGTCTACTGTCTCTGTCTGTTTATTTCCATAGATACTCTTAATTATCTATGTTTATTTCCCACCTAGAAATTGCATGGTTGCCAACTCTCAAAAATGTATGTGTCGTCAAAGTTGTATATACAGGGTGGAATCTCTCAAAGTCTAATGTGTAATAAAGTACCTTAAAAAGGGTTGGATGTGCTGGGTTACTTTTTCGTGCACATTCAACCACAAACGAAGCACAAACGATTGGCACAAAACATTTCGTTTGTGCTTGCATTCCATTACCGTGCTAACTTCACACATCTACACGCCACTGAGTTTAGTTCCATCTATATAGTGAAATACGATAGTCGTTGGGTATGAATTGTGTTGGTATGACATATACAATTTTTATAACCTTACACATTCAAATTTTATTTATTTATTAGTTTCTAATTTTGAGTTCCATTTGTAATAGAGATTTATACATTCCTGCAAAGAATGGTAACTTAACGATTTTTTTTAATTGTATTTACACGCACTATATTCCAATTTCAGAATATCAGGCGGGAAAAAGAGAAGGAAGAGCTGGAAGCACTCAATAAAAAGTTGCAAATAGACAATCTCCAGTTAACAAGATCTCACATTGAAAAGAAAAATAAGTTTGCCAACCTAACTCGTTGCTTAAATGACAGGCAGCGGGAAGAAGATGAACTTAATAGAGCAACAAAAATTAAGGAGCACATCGCCCTGCAAAATGCGAAAGTTGAACAGGAGCAACAGTTGGTAACCCAAATAGACGAAATACGAAGAAGTGAAGTTAATGAAAAGAGGCAAAGGTACGATTCTTGTAATGGATCGAAGTTTGATGCAGTCAAGTAGTAGTTGGCACCTACATTTCGTATTACAACAATACATCATAATAGTTGCTTCGTAACAGTAGTAGAAGGAATATAATACATACTAAGGTAAAACGTGATCATTATGACTTAGCAGAGGAGATATTGGATAGTTTACGGAGATGAATGGATCATTTGCTAGTCTATAATAGACTATCAATATCAAATGATCCATTCACCTCTGTGAACTATCCATATATAGGTGGACTAAACTTGGCATTGTATTAAGCTTTTAGATATCTTGTCTCCGTTTTTGTGTATGGAATCTAAATACGACCACATTACTCATAAACTAAAGGACGCTAATTAGCTCTCATTGGCGAGTAGGCGGCATCTCCAAAATGCAGTTTTATTTCATCAAATCATTTCTGATAAGCAACCACCATACCTCGCACCGCACAATAAGATCATATTTAGGGCTAACATACCTACACATTTTAAATCTTAGGCATAGATTTGGGCTACTAGGGAAACATGACATTGTTTTCTCAGGAATATCAACAAGTTTTGATTAGCTAATCCTTGATTTTGTATAATTGTTTCACAAAAGTAGTATATTTACATATACTAACTATACCTCAACATAAAGCAGTACTACTTGAGCAGTCATTTAGCTACAACATCGCTGTGACGTAGAATGCATTACAGTCGCTCTTAAGAATTTACCAACTTGTCAGTTTAAACCGAGGTTTAAACACAATTGTTTGGCCTTTTATTGCATCCTTTCATTTGAGTAAGTATTTAGTGCTGTCCTGGTCATATTGTCTTTTATTTTCTTTCATCTGTTAATATTCATGCATCAGTTTATTACACTCCATATTATGCAATGATATGTTACTCTGGTATAATTTCTTTTTTCATTTGCTCTGTACAAATATTCATTGGCGTTTTCATGGTGTAGGATGGCGTTTGCCGAATCTGTTCCGCAAGTGAGGCCCCAAATGTGCAATTTTATGGTAATAAATATTATTCGAGATATTATTATTATTAAATTTTCAAGGTACATACTTATCTACTTGATTTTTTTATTTCTAGATTGAAGGATCAAGAGAATACCTGCGTTTCATTGTTCTATCATTTCAGTTTATTTAATCACTCCCTATTTGTTTTCCATGTACGTTTTCTTTTTTTTGTTAATGTAGATTGACTACATTGTAAATATTGGCAACAAAATGAAAAGGTAAATCTCGAGGTAAATCTTCAACTATTTGAAAAAAAAACTGTTGAATATGCAGAGTGTAGGTAGTAGATGAAAATGAAAAAAAGACAAAGTAAATCTACTACCATCCACTACCTCAAGTGACTATTTACCAATTTGTAGCACCCTGACCTTTTTTAATTCTATGTTAGTAGTTTCTTGCGTGTTTACGAATTAATAAGCGCCATTTCTAGTAAAAACAATGATAGGTTTTTGTTAAGCATCAAAATACGCAACTTTGCCAAGACATGGAACCTGCCAAGGATTTAAAATGTGACCAGTGTGATTTTGTCAGTACGAATCCAATTTTAAAGCTATAACACCGGTCTACAGCATTTTTGCGCATGGGAGATGGGACATATATACCTACCTTATTTTTATTGCTTTTATAGCCAAAAATAAAAATATAAGAACAAAAGAAGGTTCTGTATTTGATTTTGTGTAAAAAATGCAAAAAAAAACAAATAAATAAAAATACCTAAAATATGTTGGCACTTATATAGAAATGATTTATTACAAGATAACGATACTACATTTATGATTTATTTGTTGTAGTGTCCAAATATTTAAAAATGTACAGTTTTGCTGCCATGTTCATCATAAGATTATCAACCCCCAAATATAATCTCCCATCATGCTTTCAGTATACTGGCCTTGGTTACGTCTCCAAATTCCATTATGTCTTGATGAAAGCGTGCCCTTTGTTCTTTTACATAAACTCTCAAATTATCTTTAAATTTATTCTAATGAGAATTTCATCTGTTCATTTAACATGTCTGTAATCAGCTCGTCATTTTTTGTTAACTGGTGTAAGTGCTACAAATAAAGAAAGTATTTTAATATATTTTCAGATAAAGGTCAGATAATAGGAGTAGACCCTTATGGCTACAGGTAGATTGCTGAAAGTGAAACTATCACGATTCGCTAAAAGGCATTGCAATTTAAAAGATTTTTCTCTGTTCTGGGATATTATTAATTTAAATTAAGTACAGGAGAGAAAGAAGTCACTGAATATGCCTGCACAGTGCACAGGTCGTCCTTGAAGACATACACACAATAAAAAAAACCATTGTTCTAATGCGCCTGTAATGCAGTGAATAATCAATACTATCTCGTTAAGAACATTAATAAAATTGAGTGTTTAGAATTTATAAACGGTGCGTATCTAGCGTAGTAGAATAATCAATACTATCTCGTTAAGAACATTAATAAAATTGAGTGTTTAGAATTTATACAAACGGTGCGTATCTAGCGTAGTATTATCGTTGTCTAATAGTATTGTTAGCGTATTTTCCTCAAAGTGAAAAAGCGCTATTGGCTGCACTTTGACGTCCGTCTGTCCGTCACACGTACTCCTTCTAAACCACTGAAACGATTTTGGCGATATAGGGCTCATTTGAAAGGGCTTGGTCCAAGGATTCCGTGCATACCCATAATTTCTAGTTTTGCGCATGTGTCAAAAATTTTGTTTAACGGCTAACTTTTATTTATGAAGATATTTAAATGAAACTTTATATGTAAACACTACGAATATAAGTAAAATTAACGACGTTGTCAAAATGTTGTTTTGCACATGCGCAATGCCAAATTTCTTGCTTATGAAAGCAGTTAAACGAAATATCATATGTAGGCACCTTGAATGAAACTAAAACTAATACCGGTTTCAAAATTACTGTTTACGCATGCTGTATGTTTTATTTATGAAGGTATTCAATAAATTTTCTAATGTAGACAATGCGCAATGCTATTTACGAAAGCATTTAAAAGCGTTTCATCAAGAGAATGGGCAGCATTTACTATTAGGAGGAAAATACGCTCTCGTCATTTATGTTTACATAAGGACTTTTAAACTTGTTTCTCTTTTTCACTCTGTTTATGTGTAGTGAAGCTTAAAACGGCTGCCATTAACATAAGTAATATTTACTTAATATTGAAAACTCTGTAATTTGGTTATTTGGTATGATAAAAAAAGTTTTTAGCGCATTTTTGGAAAAATTATATTCGTTATGACTGGCTGGCTGGCTGTCCGGCTGAGATCTCAGCAATTGCTAGAGACTTAAAATTTTCACTAAAAGCTCTCTGTTATAGTGTAGATGTGCAGGCTCTTGTCTATTTTGAGTTAGATTACTCGTGAGATCGATAATTTTAAACTTTGCTAATAAAATACTGATCTGCATTACCAAAAATGCGCTTCTATCATGCATAATCCTGATTTACAACTTGTTTGTTTTTATAGGCAACTGCTTCGTGAAAATTGTGAGGAATTACGAGAACTTGAAAGGAAGCTACGAGCTGCATACATTGCAAAGCATCAAATAGCACAAATAGCAGAAAAAGAAGCAATTAAATTAAATGAGAAGGTAGGTACTGTATTGGGTGCTGTTGTTAAGTATAGTCCTCGTCGTTAAGTACAGTCCACATTCGTTACGGTACAGTATTCATGTATGCAGATGAGACCATGATAATCGTAACACGCCCATGTCCAAAACGTGCGTGTGATCTCGTCCAACAAGTGATAGAAGACTTTATAAATGGTGCCATAAAAATAAATTAATAGTAAATATAAATAAAACATCTATAATAGATTTCCGCAATCGCTAAGATCAACTTCAAATACAATATCAACAACGACCACGGTTAAATATCTTGGTATAGTAATGGAAACTAACCTAAGGTGGACTAGCCAAATCGATGAAGTCGTTAAAAAATTAAGTAAATCATTCTTTGCAATAATGACGTTCAAGAATTATTTAAATAATAACTCCTTGTTAAGTGTTTACTACGCGTTGGTTCATTCGGCACTAAACTACAATATAGCCTGGGGCCAATCCACAGAATTTAATCGCTTGTTCTTGGCGCAAAAACGTATCATACGACTAGGCTTGTCTCACAGTGGAAGCGTTTACGCGCGAACTGAAATACGCATGTTAACGTCAGAAATTGTACGTCCGTATACGCACAAATCGCATTCGCACATTAGCTGCGTATCCATCATGAGCTGAGCAACTGTTCACAAGCACAATCGTGTACAACCTGCGAATTCGCATAAAAATCCGAACAAAATGGGATCTGTTCGCACGTCGCAATTACACGCACGTATACGGACGATTTATTAATCGCTAATGTGCGAAGGTCCGTTTGAAATCGTACGTTTGAATAGTTCGTCCATAAACGTACGTATTCGTACGAATCACAGTTCGCGCGTAAACGCTTCCACTGTGAGACAAGCCTAATGTTTAATCTACAAAACATTCATTCATGTAGAGAGACCTTCAAAAAACGGCATATTAACAGTCACCTCCATCTACCTATACAATCTGTAGACTAACTTCCATGCCCATAAACGGATGCACAGTACACAAACCCAGATTCACGGACACGACGCCCGAGGGGAGGACAGTTTCTACGAGCCTAAACCGAATTACGCCTTCTACAAAGGACGGTCCCCCATGTTTGCCGGAACTCACATGTACAACCTGCTCCCGGAAAAACTTAAGGCCTGCAGGTCTCTGGGTATATTTCGTAGGGAAATTTAAAAAATTTTAATACGCAACTGCTTCTACACCATTGACGAATATGTGGATGGATGTAGAAAATGCTTTAACTACTGTGATATACCCTCAGATATACCTGTGTGATATGTGACTTTCTTTTTACATTTTATGTGTGTATTTTATTTTTTCCTCGTTGACGCCTCCTATGTACGTATGCATGCCAAAGGAATGAGTAAAAAATCAATCGATCAATCGTTATATTAGCGATCTATTGTACAGGGTGGCCAAATAAGAATGCGAGGTACTGTATCTGGGAACCTGTCCATCGTAGAGGCTTGCGGTAAAAAAATTTATTACTAAAACGGCGACGAGAAAAACCTGGAAAATATTTTTAAGTTTCTGAAATGGCCGCTAGGGGGCGTAACTGCAATCTGGAATCTAAAAAAGTGATTTCTCATCTCTGACTCTAGGAGATGACAAGCTCGCCTAACGGCTCGCTAGTCAACTTCTCCTATCGCCAGTAAAAACTCACCTACCTGGCTAATAATGTAAAATACTATTTCATGTATAGTTAGCTACTATGGTTACACAATAATGAGCACTTCGTTATAAATGAATGTATCCCAGCTACCAAAATTTATATCTATTCTTTACTGATTTTTAAATTTGGAACTATTTGCCGAGCTGCTAACTAACGTGCTAAAATATGGACGTGATTGATTATGCCCACCCCAAATTACGAAGAGATCCATATTTTGGTTTCGAAAATATTGTCGTTTGATGCATTATTTCGCAATATAGCTACCTATGTTGTAGTTTGAAGAAAATAAAATAAATATATAATGGCAGAACAATTTTTTAGTAATACTGGTAATCAAACTATATAGTAATTGTAACCACTGCCTTCTATATTTGTGTCTAGGTAAGAGAAAAGGAATGCAATGCACTATTACACTCCGCATGGCTCAAAGATGATCAAAATAGAATTGTCACCATTCAAGAGGACATACGTCGCAAGGAACAATATCGACAAGAGTTACACAATCAGATGATAGCTCAAGAGAAAAATAGAAGATTTGAATATGAAGAGTTCCTCCGTGAAAAGAAATTATTGGATGATATTGTACAACGTATCCATGACGAGAATGAAAGGTATGTAGTGTAAAACAAATTTCTCTTACCTCAATCAAACTTGTATTAGAACAATTGAAGAACGCATGTGTAAAATGAAAAAAACTCAACAAGAAATTCAAGCATTTAAAGCAGCTCAGGAAGTTTGGAGACAAAAGCAAAAAGAAGAACTGGAAGAAGAAAATAGAAGAATGCAGGAGTATCTTTTATCTAAAGCAAGTGCAACCAAAGCAAGGTTTGACTACAATATTTTATTATGGAAAAAAGTGTTATTTTGTTTATAGGATGGAAGATCAGGAAAGGATTGCATCAGCTAAAGCTAAGTTATGTGATGATATAGGAAGAAAAATGTATGAAATTCAGGTATGTATAATAATAACTGAATATTCTTTGAAACCAGCTGAGTTCTCTTGCTGCTTCGCTTGCTGCGACAATCTCTTCTTCAGTACCTAGTTGAGATGGCAACTGAACTTTGCCGTTGAGGTAGCCATGGCACAGCACCTCCAGCATACAGGCATACTATGCCAGTAGCCAAGCGTCGTATGTTTAGATCTTCAGCGTGATCAGCGTCACTATACCCTTCCATGACTCCATTGTTGTCACTGTGGTATTTGATTGATTGACCTTTAAGATATCTGAATATCCTTTTCACATTCTGCCAATCACTTTTAGTTGGGTCCTGCAGCTTTCTGGCTACTAGCCCTACAGCATATGTTATGTCGGGACGTGTTCCGACCATGAGATAGATTAAAGCACCTACCGCTTCTCCATATGGAAAATTATTTCCTTCGTAATCATTCACTTTCCCTGATTCGATAAGTAGTTCCTTCTGTACAGGTGTTGCCCCTGGATTACAGTCCATCATACGAAATCGCTTCAGAATCTTCTTCGTATAGGTTTCTTGCTTTAGTCTAATGGATCCGTCGCCCACATGTTCTATCTCTAAACCTAAGTAGAATGATGCTGGCTTTTCAGTAATATTCAATTTCTGTCTCAGATCAGAGAAAATTTGTGAGTTTCTCATCACTTGCTGTATAGGACCATCATCTACATACAGTGTAATAAGTATCTTCTTTTTCTCAGCGGCATTGTCACTCTACTTAAAATTCATTTCAAGAAGAATTTGTTCAAAGCAGGAGTTCCAGACCTTGGTACTTGTTTCAACCAATACAAGCATCGATTTAATCAACAAACTTTCAAAAATCCACCGCTGAAGTCATCTGGCTGCTGCATAAATCTATTCCCTGTCAATTGTCCATTTAGGAAAGCTGTGGAAATGTTGAAGTGTGCGTCAGGTGTAACTTTTCCTTAGGACGTACACTCAACAATGCTCTAATTGTAGTCATTCTACGGGACTGAAAGTTTATTCGTAATCAATTCCTTTTTGTTGTTTGAATCCTTTTACTACATGCCGTGCTTTATACTTTTCAATTGACCCATAAGTGCTTTGCAATTAGGTGGTAGTTCGCACAACGACTACCCGTCGTTTTCTTTAAGTAATTTTAATTCCCTATTCATGGGACTTGAACAAGTGATCTTCGCCCTCCACTACTTCCTTGAACGTATTTGGGAAGGAATCTGAGGTTACATAAGGCAAGCATACTCGCTATACTTTTTGAGGCTCGTAATCGCTTATCTGCTTCTGAGCTTGTACCTCAAGGTTTCATCATGATCATGACGGCGCAGCGTCATCTGCTTTATCTTCAATGGGCTTCTTTGACTACCGCTATGTACCTTCTTCTGTACCGCGTAGCATTATAGAAACCTGGTGTTTCCAAGTAGCCCAGTTTGCCTTTCCTTCTAAATATACGACTTCAAGTTTTGTCGAAAACTGTTCCATCTTGAATCTGTTACGTACCTTACTACTTCGCAAGTCCTGATCCCATAGCCTGTTGACTTCACTTTTAGTGCAACAATGAAATTGGAGAGCATATAGAATTAACTCAGTAATATCGATTTCTTTTCAAGGTTGTTTTATTTTCCAATGACAAACATATTTTATAATCCTACATAAATTTTATATTTATCTACTTAAATCATAACTTTGAAACTTTTGCCATACATGAAATCATAAAACTGTGCACTGATAATCTAGAGGGTAAACATTGGCCCATGCATTCCATTAGGAGAGGATCTTTTAAAATGGTTTGTCTGTAATCGTCAAACGAAATTTTTAAATCTCTATCCATATCCATTTTCTTTGTCAGTAACTCAACTAAATCCTAAAAATTAAATACGCATAAACGAGTAGCAAAATATGTGCAGTTTAAAATCACACCTTCACAGCATCTTCTGAGTCCTCATCTGATGTTCCCACAAGGCAATTACGTAAAAACCGTACCATTATATCTCTTCCGATTTTTCCTGACATCATCACATCGTACACCTATAACATTAACTTGATTCGCTAATAGAAAGTATATCATAATTTACCTTAAAGCAGTGGCTAATCTTTTCCTCCAATGTTCCACGCAAGAAAAGTGACATCACTCTAGCCCACGTACTCATTGGTACAAAAGAGCTGGGACCTTTTACCATTGACATAACTACGTCATTGGTTAAATCTACATCTGTCATGTCAAATGCAACATGTAAAATTTCTCGAAGTTGTACTTTTGTTACACCCCCTGATTTTTCGCCATTCATTTTTTGTATTTTATAATAAATTAACATGATAACTTCCATTTCTTCGTAAGTAAAATGAAGTTCTTTAGCCAGCCGTTTGATTAAATGTGAATGCTTCTTCTTAAACCTCGTTTCCTCCATTACACCAATGGAGAGTTCCAAATGATCACCACAAGGCATTTTGCGTGTTCTTAGGATTTAAAAACGAAATCTTAACAAAAATTTAAAAATCGATGAAGTTTACTGTACTTACCTACTTTGATTTTTATTATTTTGCGATTCCAGCGCCAACGCCAAGAGAGGGAGGATATACTTTCTCAACTCATGGAGGAAGAGAAAAAGGAAGAATTGGAGAATAGACACAAAAGGGAGGTAGAAAATGAACTACGCCGAAGAATTGAAGTACGGATTTCTTTGAATCGGCAAATGGAGGAGCATGAAGAGCAAAAGAAACAACAGGCTGAAGAAGACGCAAAATACAAAGAAGAAGTAAGTAAACATGTTGCAAAATGCATAGGTACTGCTTATTCTTGCTTCTAGTTAATTGCAGAGATCGCGAGAAGTGAACGCTTGGAACAACTTTCGAATGAGAAGAAGAGAAGAAAAATGTTAGAAGTGAGACGGGAAGTGGAAAGGATGATGACAGAACGAAGGCAATTACAAGCCGAAAAAATGCAGTTAGAAATGAAGATTCTAGCTGAAGGTAGACGAGAGCAGCAAGAAAGGTAATTGCTAGGAAATTAATTACATGTTGTTTAACCCAAAGTGTAAATTTTAGGCAACGTTTAATCCAAGAGGAGCGTATTAGAATGCTTAAAGACCATGCACATAATTTAATAGGTTACTTACCAAGAGGGATATTAAACGAAGATGACCTACCACACTTAGGAAGCACAGTGTTAGATAAATATGGGGGAAAATATAAGCATGACGACATTGGTCATACCAGTTAATTAATCTTGATGAATTTTAGACACTCTCAACACAGCTGTGACATTAAATCCTTAGTTGTTCGAGTTGTTAATTAGTTGTCTACTTATACTGTTGTTTTTCATGGTTTACGTGTTTACTAAGGTTTTGTCTTAGACCATATAGTACATGGACTGCTATTAGCCCTATGTTTTCAATACAAAATGGGTGGTCACGGATAGAGGGCACTGTAGTCGTGGGTATGTGAATCTCAGGGTAAACTAAAGTCGTATGAACACTACTCGGATTGCGTAAAGAGTAACTTTCTCCCTCTCATTCTCGATGCTCTCGCGACGGCCCTGATCATGCTTACTGCTAAAACACTACTGACTTTAATACATTGGTATGGTTTATTAAACGAGTAAGTATGGCAAGGTTTTTGAATGATTTCTGTTAAATTTTACATTTAAATTATTATATTATGAAACTTTAAATTTGCAAATTATGTCTAGCTGATTGAACTAGGTACTATACTACTCGTTGACCATTTGTAATTTTACTGTTTCGAAAAGACTGTAAAACTTGTTTACGGAATAGGTATCTACTTCATGTTTGTCTATCCATGACTGTTTACACCATTTTACAATATTATTTATTAGATTTGCCATAAAAGCATGTTCTATTAGCAGTGGGGTAATTTTCTTACGTGGCGTCGGAATAATTTGATAAAATTGTGTATTGTATAGATATATAAGTGTGATACATAAAGTATAGGTATAGGTAATAACAAGTAAATGAATATAAATAGAAAATAATCTTAACCATGTAACCTTAACATTGAATACAGGTGGGTACCTAATTCAGAACCATAAACTAAAGTGACGAGTCCACCAGCTGCTGATTTGATTCAACGAACATTCCTAACGAATGGGTGAAATGTGCTCAAAAATCCACGAATAGCATATCTACTTGGTAAACAGGGTCCAAGTAACTCCATTCCCAATGGATTTTCAAGTGCGAAACTTTCATAATTTTCACGAGAAATTTCTCCATTGCCCTCCACGTCTAGCTTTCTAAGCAACATATCCACAAACTCCTGAAAAAAAGATCTTGTAAGTAAGATGTGCGACGTTAAAATTTCAAAAAAATCACTGCTTTTAAACAAATGCTAACTCCACCTCAGACATATCTTTCACGCGTGATCTATCAGCAATAGTACTCTGCGCGTGATACGTATGTCTATTTTTTAAGGACACCGCAAGATTTGAAGGCATATATTTTTTTTCCTTCTGTACTTATTATTAGTTGGGTTGTTATGTGCACGTAATATATGGGAACCAATATTTTTGTCATTAAAGTACCAGACTTGGTACACTTGCTACTTAGGTGACCCTGAATGGAAATCGCCCGGGAGGCAGCGGGAGACACGCTGCTGTGTGAGAGGGGGAGGGGGTAAACTTTACTTACGCCGCGCGCGCTGTTGGTCGTCATAACTGCTAAATTATAACTACTAGGGCAAGTGTGGTATCATTTTCGCATAAATAAAAGATGGCCAATCATTTTCTGAAACAAAAAAAGTATCTTGACGGACAAAAAATCGAATTACGGTCAAAAATCTAGAAGCTTATTTACAAAAAAATTCTTTAAATGACCATAAATTGTGAACTAGCGCCGATATCGCCTAAAAAAAATGTAATTAAAAAGCCGCATTCATACGTATTCTAAAAATATAAGCTTCCTTGGAACAGTTTAATAAAAAATGCGTTTAAAAAAATATTAAAAACAGCGCGACAGAGCCGTAAAAAGTCTTAGAAGAATAAGGACAACGAAAACAACTACTATATGTTGATAGGGTCCTGTAACTAGTAAGAATAGAGTTTTATTTATATAGAATAGAGCACAATGTTATAGTATTTTACATTATTAGCCAGGTGATTTTTACTGGCGAGCCGTCAGGCGTATAATGTAGAATATTTTATTTGTTACTCATTTATAAACAATAATAAACGTAAACAATTAGTTCTTAAATTGATCTTGAAGAAATGTCTAAAATATGTTATCCATGTGACAGAGACTTCGCATTAATTCTGGCCAATGAAATTACTAGATTACTAACTTGTAAAACTTTTACAGGTCAGCTGTCAGCTTTACAAGTCAGTAGCGTTCAAACATGACGTTTGCGTTTTGTCTAATTGTCTTGTTAATCAACGTTTACAACTGAGTAACAAATAAATTTACAAGTATACTTAATATTTTACGTATAATATTACAAGTGTGCATTCCGTTAATTACAATTAAGACATAAATGCGTTTATTTTATTACAATACACCCTTTATCGCAGTGTTAAATAAAAATCACATTGCTGAGACCTCAAATCATCGGATGGAATTGACGCAGATGTGAGCAGTGTAATACCTACGATAAAAATTACAGGAAATCTGTGTTTAAGGTATTGCACTTCAACATGGATTGAAAAATGTGTTCATTGTGTAGTAGAAATTGTCGAAATCTTTTTTTAATTCGGAAAGGGTAGGTACACATGCTTCTATGTGTTATCATTAACAAGTTTTAGAGGTTCCACCCTGTATATACAACCTACGGCGATGCAAAAATGGGTAACCGCGTGATTTTTTTACAAGTAGAGTTAAGCTGTCTGGAGCACTTGCGCTTGTTACGTTGTTTTTAATGTTGGTTAAGAAAGTATCTTAGATCTTACCGTTTACCTTGGTTGTTCATTTTTGTTATTTAATGCAAGTAGAAATCTTTGCATTTCTTCATATTGTATTTGTATTGCTGTGTTTATTTCGTCTGGCAGGATGAAATTTTTGGAAATCTTAATTAAGATGGACAAGAGCGGTCTTTTCTATGTAATTAAATTTTATTAATTTGTCGTTGGTCTATGTAACGGCATGGAAATTATTATGTCATACGAGAAAGCGGTCGAGGTTGTTTTTGTGCTTTGTGCTTAATTTAATTGACAGGTGGATGTGATTTATCGTTTTTTCTGTGTAGTTAAGAGGGATGAAATTTTATTTTTTCCTAGAATTTAAGTTTGGATTTATCTCTTAATGTCTGATAACAAATTGATTTATAAAAATTATTCGACCCCTATTTTTTGGTCTATTGACGTACGTTGAGGGGATTAGTCTTTGCTGTCAACTGTGTATGATTGGTTGTTATAATTTTGATTTTCGGAAGAAGGGTTTCGCCTTAAATAGGACGTTAACAAGAAAAGCGTCGTTTTTTAGCCACAATCTACGCAGAACTACGCTTCATGGAGTTTTGACATCAGTTTTTTGTTACGTTCAGCACCAAGTTACGTTTTGTTAGAGAATTTATTGGCGGAGTTCCTTCGATGATTATTTGTTTTGAAGTTACAGCCAGCATTGAAAGTTTCGTCTACTGTGAGTTTGAAGTTTCAAGAAGTTTCGTGTGTGAAGCCGGAAGCCGAATTCGCGGCTAATTATTGTTCTACGTTTTGAAGTTTTGGCAATCAAAGGTGCTGCAAGAAGAGGTGTTTGTCGGCGCCTCCATAAGTGTATTTTCAACGTGACTCAGTTTGAAGTTTTTTATTGGAACGTCCTTGTGCTGCGATTACCCGGTCGTTATGTAAAGTGTATTCATTGAAAATTGAAATTGTTTTTGTGTACTGTGGATGGATACCTTTTATTTGCATATTACAATTCCCGGGCAAGTAATGTAAGTATTTAAGTCATAATTTTATTATATTTGTAATTAATGTTTGTGTTATTGTACCATTTCCCTTTTGCGTGTTAAGATTAAATGGCACTTTTGTAATTTTCACATTAATTTCCGTGTTTCATTCACGACGAAAAACGTCGATTAATTTCTATATCACGTCAGTATGCGAACGACGACGTTTGCCACTTAGACCACATACCACCGTAGACCAGATTGCGTTTCCGTAGCCAATCAGTGGTGAGTACTACATTTATCGGTGCGTTCGTAGTAGACTGAAAGATAAGGGCTTGTTCGACGAAAATTAAGTGTATATAACTATATATCGCACCACATCCGACTCCACACTTACCGTTCAATGATTCAAATGAATTTTGTCGCTCGTAGACACTTCTAGGGAAACCAAATTCGATTACCTATGTCTAACAAATCGCCATCGGTATCAAGAAATGTTCCATCTTCCACTTCCATTATTAAAAATGGTTTACAAAATGCAAATCAAATTCGAAAGTTAGATAAATACACCATCAATGTACTGAATACGCAAGCGCTAAACCTAAAACGCCCAACAGACGATACGATTGGTCGTACGACTTTGGATCGATAGACCTACCGTCTGAACGATAATAGTATCGTTCGACTTATCGTTTACGGTTTTAGGGAATTACGTCGTACGGCAAGTTGAAACGATATCTGAAATGACGATAAGGCCCGGTTGTACAATGTCGGGTTAAACTTCAGTTTGGTTTAACCGACAGATTTGAGAAATACGATTGGCCAGCTTGTGAAATATTAGCCAATCAAATCCTTTAACCCACAATTCAACTATAAACTGAAGTTTAAACTGACATTATACAACCGGGCCTAAGTCGTACGACAAATCGTACCGTCTGTAGGGCGTTTTAGTCGTCTTTTTTTTTAAACTCCGAACATCGGCGGGTTAAGATAAAGCAGGTTTGGGATGCTCAAATTCCATGGTGCATACGACAAAGGGAATTGAGGCGGGTTTTACTTTTGCGCCCACTTAAGACCCTTGGAGAATACGGTCATAAAAGGGTTTATTTGCACAAATCATGATAATAAGGACCCTCGGTTTATGTACCAAATTTAAGTCTAAATTTTACAAAAATTAATAAAAACTTATCGCATTGAGCGTCGTCGTGAAACTTGTGTCAAAGCAGACAATGCTTTTACCACAAAGGACATCATCTAGCATTAACGACACTTGAGAACTAAGCTACTTTCCTTCACCAGCAGTTGTGAAAAGTTGACAGGCCTAACCATGAACGCATGCGTAAGTATAACTTACTAGTTTTATATCCCGTGAATCTTCAGTATTCTCTCCAATAAATACATCTTCTAGAAAATATTCCATGTTTCGCTTGCTTATTGAACCATTTTGAAATACATCATAAACCTACAACGAAATTGCGCATTTTCAATACCACGCCAATTCAGGCTACAATTCACAGCCTCTAGAACTCCTAAATTTACCTTAAAGCAATGATTAACTTTACTCTTCAGTTCTCCATTTAAAAAAATTAACATTACAGATAGCCAACTTTTCATTGTTAAGATGGGCGTAGGATGACGGTTAACTTCTATGGCAGAAAGAATGTGTCTTCTCAATTTCTCATCAGTTATATCTAACGAATTGTGTAGAAAATTTATGAATTGTCTTTTTGTCATGCCTTTTTCACTTCCATCGGGTTGAATTTGAAATTTGTAGTATATTATTACCAGACCCGCTACCTCGTGAAAAGAGGATTTATACTTGTTAGACATTGTTCTGATTAAATTAAGATGCTTATTCATGAACCTGGTTTCTTCCGATGTGGTGATGCTTAAATCCATATGTTCAATTCCAGACATACCTACTTAAGTAGATATAGACACTTGATAAATATCAGTGGTTAGATTCTTCTTTAGCTGTAAGTGTATTGAGTTGATGAGTGCGACAGGTGTATTACTTTGACATTAATGCTTATGTCTGCCAAATAGGTATACCTAAGTGTTCATAAAATATTAGAAGGCCATTGAAAACACAGATCAAAATATGGAAACCGATTTACAGAATGAACAACGCGACATGGGCGAAAATAAATCATTCTTGGTATTGACATGACAAATACTTTCGTAACTTTCTTAGCAAATATTTTGGCCCCTCTTGTATTCTCTCACGCTCCTTCGCTCCCTACCCCGATGTAATAATATAGAAAATAACCGTGCGTGGGTTCGAACCCGCGACATCGGCCATCGGAAAGTGTCAGGCTGTCCGCCTTACTAACTGGGAATCAGACTGCTCCGATTAAAAGAAATTCAATGTGCATATTTTACTGCTTTTGGATGCCGACAGGCAGGTCTAATCATCTGCAAAGGCGGTTGATTACAATAAATCGAGCAATAAATATTTTTTTTTCAGGGTAGGTAATGCAATGACGCACTGAAGATGTAGCTCCCCCCGAATACCGGGTATACCCACTAAAACCCCTCCTGAGGCATCGACTACTACGGTCATTTGCCTTATTTTATTAAATATATACCGGGTGGTGCCTAGCGCGACGCAGCATAGGGATTTCAATGGTAATTTCTTTATAGTCAATTACTAGCTCCCCTAATTATTTTAGAGCAAAAGTCTAAATAAGTTTTTTTTAGAGAAAAAAATACTGAATCTGTTCATGCTATTACTCATAATTTTTCGTTTTTCAAAACCGTAGAAATAGACAAAATAAAAAGGTTCATTTTACAATAAATCAAATATGCCTTGGAATTACCTAAAAAAACAGCGATCACGTTTCATTATTTGCCAACGTTTTGGCTGCAGTAGCGGAAAATCCGAATATAAGTTTAGGAACAAATCTTCAAATCAGTTTATTTTCTTCGATTATGTAGGTACTCTGATTCCGGAAAATGATAAACAAATAGTATCTGATGCAGATTCAGCATACATTCTCTAAAAAAACATTACCCAACTGCCGCTTTTTCTTGCATCTGATAGTTGTAACAGAATTAAGGCTTACGCAAACCTACGCGGTCGCGGTCGCGGTGGCGGTGGCGGGCGGCACACAATCCGAATGAATAAGTTTAGCGAACAAATCTTCAAATCAGTTTATTTTCTTCGATTATGTAGGTACTCTGATTCCGGAAAATGATAAACAAATAGTATCTGATGCAGATTCAGCATACATTCTCTAAAAAAACATTACCCAACTGCCGCTTTTTCTTGCATCTGATAGTTGTAACAGAATTAAGGCTTACGCAAACCTACGCGGCCGCGGTCGCGGTGGCGGTGGCGGGCAATAGAATGCACACACTTTATACAGGCAACGCATACTGAAGCGTTCAAGCGGTGGCGGTGGAGATCAGTGCAGCGAACAAACGCGGCGATCTAGAGCGGTGGCGGGCGACAGCTGCACTCACAGACTCACAGTTGGTCCGCCAGTTTGCGCTGCATGTCTCGAAAGAAAATGACAGAACAACTAATTGAGTTAGTGAGAGGAAATCCAATTTTATACGACGTTACATGTAAGGAGTATAAAAATATAAAAAAGAAAGATAACGTATGGGATGAATTGGCCATGATACTGGACATACCTGGTGAAGATAAGTGTATTTGTTTATAGTTTTAGTACATTGTTAGGCATTAAAAAAAGAAACAAATCTATCCCGTACTTCAAATGCCATATTTCATCAATTGGTAGTGTGCGTCAAAAAACATGTGATCTCGCGGATTGAACGCCCTAGTGTGCGGCCTTACGTTCACCACCGCGACCGCGACCGCGTAGGTTTGCGTATACCTTTAAATATGAAAATTGTTCGACGTCAAACAACGATAACTTAGATGCGATGCGCTTATAGTTTGTTAAAAGATTCCAAAGCATCACTGATTTATAAAAATGTAATTTTTTATTTTGTCGATTTCTACGGTTTTGAAAAATGGAAAATTATAACTAAAAGTATGAACAGATGCAGTATTTTTTTCTCTAAAAAAAACTTATTTAGACTTTTGCTCTAAAATAATTAGGGGAGCTAGTAATTGACTATAAAGAAATTACCATTGAAATCCCTATGCTGCGTTGCGCTAGGCATCACCCTGTATAGGTACCAGTACCGGTGTTATTTAGAGCTTAGATTTTAGATATTAAGCCAGTATTGATACTTATATTATAACGGCTGCACATTTATCTTTATTTGTCAAGGTTTCTATTATTTCTTCACTCACGTTACACTGCACTCTTTTATATTTGGGACACACGTTCTCTTTTAAATACCTGTCATTTTATATCTTTAAAAAGAAGCTAACGGGCCTGTTGTTGACCAGAAGTGGAGTAGGTATGTAACGTTTACGTTCCTTTAATTTTTCCATCAATCTTTTTTTTTAATTTATGCTCAATGGTGACCTGGAAATTGACACCAATTGTGACAGCACATAGTTTTTATTTTGCCTGTGTGATTGAGGATCTATCCACGGCTCCTTCTTCCTATTAAGTTTTTATGAGTTGGAAAAGGTGGTAGAACAGTTTGGTGTTATCACCATATAGGCTGGTCAATCTAGGCAGGTTTATACAAGTGAGGGAGAAAAAATTAGTAACAAAGTGATCTCTGCGGAAATGAGTACTCAATAGGGTCCTTATTAACCCCTCAAAAATCGCACTTTGTCGCATTGGTGGAACTTGGAAAAAATGGCCGCCATCTTGATTTTTTTGAATTTATTAAATATTTCGTAAAGTATAGATACATCATATGAAAAAAACTCAAAGAGACTTTTTTTATGGAGAATCAAAAGTTACCTATAATAAAAAAAGTTTAAGTCTATTGACCAAAAAACAAAAAAGTTATTGGAATTTATATGATTTGGGTAATTATCACATCTGTGTCGAGACTTAGATGTATTTCAAGAACTTAATGCAGATATAGCAGTTTTAATTAAATCAGGACTTAAATATTATGTTATCAAAAACTCTAAACCTTCCCCATATAGTTTTATTCGTTGAAGTTTTAAAAATAACAGCGACTATAGTTTCGGCGTACTGCCATCATCAGGCGACTAGAAGTGTATCACAATATAGCAAATTTATAACAATCAAGACCCTGATAGCAACAAACCTCTGCGTATAGGTATCACCTACATATCACCAGCTACAAGACCAAATGCTTTGTTTATAATTATCTTTTAAACAAAGCAACAGGGAAGCAACGGATGCGTAATGAATTGCAATAGGTATAGTCGTCACTTTGTTGTTGCAAGAAGTTAAAATACTGATTAAAGTTAATGAAATCGTGCGTTCCGGCAATCAACGGCTTTTCCAATGTACAGACAATTTATTAATAAGATGAACGCAAGTTTGTGGCTTAATTAAAAAGTTCAAAGAATATAATGGCGCCATAAAATTTGTACGACATTGAACAGTGAACTACTTATAGTTACGTATAAATAACATTTTAAAACTTCGCCATTCTATGATTCTACAAATAAATAATTGGGGAAAATCAGTTCAGCCCCATTTAAAAATTTCACTTTGCAACCGCGTCGCGAGCGACCTTGTTTACCGGCTCCACGAAAATTTCATTGTAAACGCTTGCTGGTCTCAAGCGGCAGCTTTGAGTATTACGGTTATCCCCACTTTAAATGCTTCCCGCTTCTCGGGTTCAAAGCGCACCGCATGGTTTCGGTAGTTTGGTTTACATTTTACCGACCTATCCACACGCTACCAAAATGTCCGAACAAAACAGCTGTTTACGAAAGCACGCTTTGTTGTTGTGACCTTGAAATGATTACCTGCCCTTAGCTATTATAAAAAATATACTACTGTTACACTCAGGTGTAGGTGTAACCTGTAAGGTGCAACCAATGAGAGAAAGAACGATGCGGCCAATGGCGAGCACGCAATGATGTTTATTGCCGCAGGCCAGCGAGGTGATTCTGAGAGTCAGGCGCCAGCGAGGGATGTGAATGTGTACCACGTCGTTTCGTTTCTCTGAACAACGTGCGTTTTATACACACGATCCTTAATTAAATTTTAAAAGGAATCCGCGTCCCGTAAATATAATACCTTATTCGGTGTGATTTTTTAATCGGAAACGTTTTTACAATCGAAAAAAAAACACTTTTGTTTTGTGAAGCTTTGGCTTGTGCTTGATGGGAGACAACGAGAAAATTCCATCATCGTCGCCATGGCGTCATCAACTTCTTCTGGGGCTGGACGTGGACGTAGAAAACAAGCGAAACCGCAACGTAAACAAGGTATGTTGTCATTCAACGAAACTTCTATAAACTAAGTCGCGACGAACTTAAATTCAAATAAAAAAATTAAGTTGTAAGCAACTTTTTGTCTAATATAATATTTCGCAAAACTGTAAACATCTCAAGAACATGTGGTTTTTGCAAGCGCCATCTTTGTTAAGAAGCGGGTGGGGGGTGATGTCCTCTAAGTTGTATCATCTGTTAATTACTGTTTGTTTGGAGTAATTTTTTAAACTAAACCTTTGGTTTATTGAGAGCGCATGTTATCCGACGGCTAAAAAATAAATGGTTTTCATTACGCATTTATTTCGCTTACTAAACTAGTCATATATTTTTGTTTGACTGGGTAAATTCTATAACCCAATAAGAGATAGTTTTCCTATTTAAGAACGTAATTTTTTCCCCAAAAAAAATAAGTAAAACGCTACACTAAACCGACGTTCTCTGCACTACACCTACCTATTTACGATCATATTTCATTGACGGCAAACAAGCTTCAGTTTTTTCTATCGGTTTGTAAATATTTACATTAAATTTTAGAGGGTAGGTTGCTCGGTAGGTTAAAATATAAAATTCCAACCTGTCCGAATATTTTTACTAAATGCACATCATGCGCTGTTCGTGAAGCAATGTTTGATGAAATTGAGTTGAACGATTCCTGAATTTGTCTTGGACAGTTGCCCCGTACGGTTTGTCTGAAATATGCGAGGGAATATATTGTGTACA